TCGCTGTCATCGGATGATGAAGGATCGTATCTCAGCTTGTCAGTCACTCTGACATTGCCTTCGAAGTTTAAGAGGATCAGAAATCCTTTCGAGGTGCAACTTCTATATCAGCCCTGAGAGCCATTCCATGGACTCTGCACCCCTGTTTCTGATGACAGGTGTACATTATCCTCATCCTCAGCGGAAAAGACAATAAAGATGGAAGCCTCTTTGTCCTCGCTCCCGATTCTCCTTTCCTTTCCTGCAGCATCGAAAGCCGCCCCTAGATCTACGGGGCAGAGCAGCAATCCCCATGCCAGTCTTATTAACAGTTGAGAAGGCTAAACCCACCTCTCCAGCACTGCTGCCCCAATAAAAATGGAATATACCGGTACTCACCCAAGACTCTTTTAAAGCTGAATTTAAAAACTTGGTCGATCTGATTACTGGTATTGTTAGTTGCACACACAGTAGGAATTGTGTTATTTAGGGGCATGAAGAGAGATTTGTGGGAAGAATTGTTCTTAGAATACTTGAACCTGTCTGTGACAGAGAGCTGGATAAACTATATGTCCCCCTGATCCAGCCTATCAGAGGGAGGGGTGTTGAGTGTACTTTTGCCCAGCTAGTGTACTCACCCTGGTTTTCATACCCTTGCATATTCATATCTGCATAGTGTATCTGAATATAGAATAAAATCCAGTGTGTGGGAGCCAGGGAAAGAAAAGATTTTGGCTCACATGCTTTGGATTTTACTCTCATAGGCTTTTTGCCAGACATTATACTTCTACGTGGGCATGCAGGGATGTTGGGAGAAAAGTCAAGTATGCACGCTCTCCCCCACTTACTGCAATGGGCTGGACCAGAAGAGAGGTATCCTTCAATCTGGTCTAAAGTATGTGGACTTTCTAGTTCATCGTCATCTCCTCAGGAGATGGTATGGAAAGAAAAAGGTTGGTCCAAATAACTCAAATACTGAGCAAGCCAACAAAACCACTGGGCTGTTTAGCAAGGAATTAGCTGGTGTGTCCTTTTCCCAGACCAGTGGCAAGCTCCACGAAGCAGTCTTTGACCAGAGAGTATTATGACATTTTGTAATATCTTATTTACTTACAAATGTACAAACAGAGGATGTACCCGGTGATGGAGCAACAATTTTGAAACCAGGATCACTTCTCCAAAATCAACAACATGCCATCACAACTCCCCAAAACTGCTTCTTGCCAGTCAACTGCAAAAACCAGCCTGCAGTCCTGTCCACACTTACCTGTGGACATCATTAATGAGACTTATTTCTAAAGTCACTGGATTCAATGGGACTTATTTCCAAGTACACATGCTTTAGATTTGTGCTTCCAGATAGCCTACACTCCAAAATATCCCTCTCTAACCTTTCACCCAAGTGGCTGGTGTTTATCCAATGAGCATCTTCCAAACCATCAATGCACTACAGAAGCCTAGAAAAAGAGTGGCCTCGCTTTGTAGCACCACAACAACATTAAGGGGATGATTGTGGCGGGCACAAGAAACAACACCCATCTCAGAATCAGCAGACTCAGCAGTATTTTTGAGAACAGAAGTGATTTGATTATGTTTCAGATAAACTGTGGCCTAATCAGAAAACATATATCGCCTTCCTTGATGCCACTACCATACCCACCACCCTCCCCTGGCTTGAGGGTTTTTTTCCATGGGAGCTCTGGTGTGGGTATTAACATTGAGAGTTCCAGTAAGCAGTCTGTATTTTAACCGCCCCCGTGCAAAATGACACAGCAATTGCTTCATTTTGTTTTCATTTCCCCTTTTCTTCTTCCTAGCAGTAACCGTTTATTTTTCTGTGGGTGGGAAGAGAGACTCCAGAAGCTGCAGGGAGGGACCAATGTTTGTGTGTGCCATAAAACCACATTTTTGGGACATGGCCACACATATTTTCATATGGTTGCACTTTTCAGTTTTCTTCATGAAGGTCTAGCCTGACAATGCCTGCAGTCAGCATAACTATGAATGCCACTGTGCTGACTGCATTGCAAGAGTGGCTCACCTGTGGCTCTCCATGACGTTGGACTGCCAGATCCTATTGATCCTAGCCAGCATGATCAATGGGCAGAGGCGATGGGAGTTGTAGTTCAGCAACGTCTGGAGGGCACCAGATTTCTATCCCTGCACTGAAGCTTCACATGGAATTTCCAGATTGTACCTATCATAGAATCATAGAATTGTGGAGTTGGAAGAATTTCAACTAAAGCATCCATGACAGATGACCATCCAGTCTCTGCTTAAAAGCCTCCAAAGAGGAGAGCCCACAACCTCCTGAGGGAGTCCATTCCACTGTCAAACAGCTCTTACTCTCATAAAGTTCTTCCTGTTTAGTCAGAATCTCCTTCCTTGAAACTTGAATACATCGTTCGAATCCTACTTTCTGGAGTAGGAAAAAACAAGCTTGCTTCATTTCCTTATGACAGCCCTTTAGATATTTGAAGATGGCAATTAGATCTCCTCTCAGACTCCTTTTTTCCAGGCTAAACATACCCAGCCCCCTCAACCGTTCCTCATAAAGCTTGGTTTCCAGACCCTTGATCATCTTGGTCATCCTTGTCTATACATATTCCAGATTGTCAAGATCCTTCTTAAACTGTGGCACCCAGAACTGGACACAGTACTCCAGGTGTGGTCTGACCAAGGTACAATAGAGCAGTACAGTGGTACCTCGAGTTACAAACACCTCAGGTTACAAACTCTTCAGTTTACAAACTCTGCTAACCTACCTCGAGTCGAGAACTTTGCCCCAGGATGAGAACGGAAATTGTGTGCCGGCAGCGCAGCGGCAGCAAGAGGCCCCATTAGCAAAAGCATACCTCTAGTTAAGAACAGTTTCAGGTTAAGAACGGACCTCCGGAACAAATTAAATTCATAACTAGAGGTACCACTGTACTCTTACTTCCCTTGATCGGGACACTATATTTCTGTTGATGCAGAATATCACTAGCTTTCTTTGGCGCTGCATCACACTGTTGACTCAGGTTACACATGTGGTCTGCTAAGACCCCTAGATCCTATTCACATGTAGTACTGACAGGTCAGATGTCCCCCATCTTATATTTGTGCAGCTGGTATAAAATACCTCTTGAAATTTCATGACAATGTGGCCTCACTGTTTAATTTTTTACTCTAAAGCCCAGTTGCTGCAGCCCCTATAACAGTATCTGTACAAAACTGATAACAATGTACTCCACAATAAAAGCGTTGGTCTTCAAATGAAACTCTATGTTGTTTTTCCTGAAACAGCTGGTCCAAGGGCTACCTGTAGATATCACTAAAGCTAGGGGCATAGTTATCTTTTGAATACCCTCCCCTGCAACGGACAGTCCTGCTTTGCCAGTGCTGTACAATCTTATCTAGGATCAGCAGTCCTGGTTCAGTTTGTTCTCATTTGCTAGTAGGAAGCAGAGGAATTATTAACTAGAGTCAGAAGACAACACCGGGATCTTTCAGGGGGGTATCCTTGGTTGTAGCTGCCCTAGCAGAGAAAATTTGATCGGTTCTCTTTTTCCATTAAACCTTTTTGGGTGCCATTCTTATGGTTTCTTGCCAAGATTTCCTTTTTCTTAAGACACTAGGCATTCTAGCCATGCATGCTCACATCTTCATAATTTGCTTGATTCAGATCAGGTATGGAAGTCTTTAAAACATTTCCCTACAATGTACTTCTTTCACTTTTTATTTGATGGGCTATGCTTCCTTTTTATACTTGCCGCAGTTTAGTTTTCCTTTTGTTCTGATGATCGTATGTTGATTTCTTAATTGTTCACAGCTTTTGAGTTCATTTTTTAGGAGAAAGCGGGGTACAACTGCTTAAAACAAACGAGATTCCCCCTCCAAAGAAACGCCTCACTTTTTGCATTTAGTTTCCACCGCAACCCCTTTTAAAGCAGATATCAGAAATCTTTAGATTCTGAGTCGTCTTGCCCATTTAGTTGGATTTGCTGCGACACTATCCTCTAAAATTCCTACGCAGCTTCATTCTGTTTTATTAATATTGCAATCCCGTACATACTTGACAGTAAGTCCGACTGATATCCAGTGGGGCTTACTTAGGAAGAAGCTTGCACAGGAGCAACAACTTCTGTGTTCCCAAAGAGAGCTTCTCCCCACCCGTCTTGAAAGAAAGAACAGCTTTACTGGCTCTGCTATGCGCATGCGCTGCACGACCCTCGAAAAGCAGGATTTAAACAGCCCCAGCCCCATCATGCTTTGCATTAAATGCAGACGGTAGAGTAGACCCGGAGGCTGACGCCCCATGGCAATTACTACAACTCCCAGGAGACCCTAGTGCAGAAGGTTTCTCGTTGGCCGCAGCCCTCGTTCAAGAGAATAGGCAGAGGTTGATTTTCAAAGAGCTGCAGCAGCAAATTACAAAAAGAATCACTATCGACAGTGCTGTGGGCGTGAGGGGGGGAATAATCACATGTAAGGGCAAAATGTGATACAAGATAAAAGGTGAAGTTTGCAGAAAGGGAAGGTTGGCAGATATATAGATATATATATATATATATACACACACACATTTTTATTAAATTTTCTGTTTTACAATTTAGAATACTCATTTAAACATCCTTAAAATATCAATGACTTCCCTTCTTCTCTTTCCATGGTTCATTTTGCATATCATATATCTCTGCATATTTTACAAAAACTAAACCATTTAGTATTCCATTATTACATCCATCAAAAGGGAAGGGTGGCAGTTTGAAAGGGCAGTTCACTTCTCGCCATCGGAAGATTAGTGGGCTAACTCAGAGAGAGTTTAATCCCACATAAACAGGACAGTCAGCAGCAGCTCGCTCAAGCGAAATGAGCCGTGGCAGATAAAATAGGCAATATCCCCGTTCCCTCTTTTTTGATGGAACCCATATGGAAATCACACGCGAACTTCCACTTAGTGCCACAGTAATGACGGACGCACTCAAGAAACGTCACTGAAGCTATTCCCTGCCATTGGCAACGGGGCAAGGCTTGCCGGGGTTTCGCATCCGGGAACTCGAGCAGGCAGTTCCCATTATGCCAGCAACAGTATGCGGGGATGTGCGGTAGAGCTTTCCTCGACGCGCAAACAGCAGAACGTATGTATGGCTTGACGCGTGTTCAGGATATGTTTAGTGCGTGTACCCGGGGCACGTGTGCACGCCGCTTATTCAGGCGCGCCTGCAGCAAATGTGATTCAAGGCTACAGTAAGATCGCGCACTGTCAGGCCGCATGGCATGTTGGGATTTTGGCCTCCGTTCAGTGGTGCCCGGCCGTGGTGCATGCTGGGAGTGTGGTTCTAAACGGGATTGTTATCTTTAACTCTGGTGCAGCGTGAGTGTCTGAAGCCTAAATAAACGAAGAACCAAAAGAAGCCCATTGAGGGATGTGATAGTAAATGGCCAATTAGTCTCAGACTTAACAAATGATTTATGCTGTTTCTTCAAAGCAACAGATTACTGCCAGCAAGGATACAAATAGTATGGAAAATGGGATTGTGTATGACAGTCCACCAAAATCATCATGAATGAAGGACAGTTGGAGGGGCTCTGGGTGAACATGGAATAATTCCCAGCACATTATTCTGCATTTTACTGCAGAATGGAATCCCTTCATCAATAAACGTGTTTAGGGGGGAAATCCTGTTTTTTTAATCACACTGCTTTGCATAATTGCATGTATTAAGAGTTATCATTATCTTGATAGGTGCTGTTCATTGAGGTCACCCCAAGCACATTTGTTCTGCATCCTATGTGTAAGTCCCTCCCAACTCTACAGTTCTATGGTTCTAAGGATAAACCTCTTCTGCAATCCTGAAAAAACAGGTCCACATTTGTGACAGTAAACAAGCCCTCAGTCCCATTCACCCCTCCTCTATTAGCTTTGCTGTATGTTGAAAAGCAGAATTTCCACAGAATGTAATACAGTGGTACCCTGGGTTACATATGCTTCAGGTTACAGACTCCGCTAACCCAGAAATAGTGCTTCAGGTTAAGAACTTTGCTTCAGGATGAGAACAGAAATTGTGCTCCGGCGGCGCGGCAGCAGCAGGAGGCCCCATTAGCTAAAGTGGTGCTTCAGGTTAAGAACAGTTTCAGGTTAAGAACGGACCTCCGGAGCGAATTAAGTACTTAACTGAGGTACCACTGTAGTACAGTCAAGATAAAGCACAACATAGGAAATCAATTTTTGAGTTAAATTTTCTTTTCTTTTTTATCCCTTTCAGTAACATGGCTCTGGTATCAGCCGATTCCCGCATCGCTGAGCTCCTGGGGGAGTTGCACCAGCTTATCAAACAGACACAGGTAACATGGTAGCTTTCCTGGAATCTGAAGCGATAGGAAGTGAGTTGGGTCAGATAAAGAGAGCCTTCTTTGCTTGTGGATGTCCAGCACAGGAGAAGAAAGGGCCTCTCCAGCAGTTTCTTGGGATGGAAGGAACATGGTAATTTGTGGCTGCCATTTTGTTTTGATGCTGTGTGAAGCATCTGTATCCTGAGGGAGGGACAGAATATTGGTTTTGTGCAGCAGGTTGGGTGAATATGGTCTGTGTATTAAAGTAGATACTCTGTATAGCTGGTAAAGTAACCCATAAGCTCTTTCCTTCCTAGGAGGAACGTTCGAGAAGTGAACACAACCTAGTCAACATCCAGAAAACGCACGAGAGAATGCAGACAGAAAACAAGAGTGAGTTGCAACTCCACTCCACTTTAAAACATCTGCTTTATACTCTCCAAGACCTCAGTTCTGTCCTGGTTTTTCTATTTTAGATACCACTAGACCAAAGGGCTACGGGTGAGGGAAGAATTGTGGGAGATTGAAACCTTGGCCTCCTGTTTAATGTCTCATCTCCCTGTCTGTCTCCCGCTCAGTTTCTCCATATTATCGGACCAAATTACGTGGCCTCTACACAACAGCCAAGGCTGATGCAGAAGCAGAATGCAAGTGAGTGCATCTCAGTATTATGTTCCAGTGGGGATACTTTGACTCCCTTAAGAAATTCCCATTGACTCTTACTTGGGGTTTCTGCCTCCTTTTCTAGTATCCTGCGCAAGGACTTGGACAAGATTGCAGAAATTAAGTCTCTTCTGGAAGAACGCCGCATAGGTGAGTGCTGCAAGGTCCCAAGAAGGCAAGATCAGTTGTGTTGGGTGAATAGCTTTAGAGCTTTGGAGCAAACAGCTTCAAACCATCCCAGCGTAAGCCAACAACATTTTAACTAGCCAAGGGAGCAGGAGAAATAGAGAGCCGGCGGTGTATGGCTTTCCAAGCTATTCCCTGGGCAATCTTTGGGTGAGTTTGATTTCCCTGAGCGATGGTGTGGTTGAAATAAGTCAGCTGAGAGTCCTCCTCTCCTCTCCTCTCCAGGAAGGAAATGGGGAAGTCAGGGGCTAAAACAAAAGCATCTTGTCAGCCATTGTGAGAAAAGATGCTGGAGTAGATGGACCATTGGCCGGATCCATCAGACTCTTCTTATGTTCTCAAGAGCTTCCTGGACACTAACCAAGCCCTCCTTGTCATTTCCCTCTCCTCTTAACAGCTGCCAAGATTGCCGGCCTCTACAACGACTCGGAGCCGCCACGCAAAACCATGCGCCGCGGTGTGCTGATGACGCTCCTTCAGCAGTCGGCCATGACTCTTCCCTTGTGGATTGGGAAACCTGGAGAGAAGTGATTATTCAGGGGGCGCATGGCGGGTGCTGGGGACCTCTCCTGTACGTGTTTATGCTTCAGGCCTGCTTACGGCCGCTTCTCTCTCCCTCTCCACTACAGACCTCCCCCTCTCTGTGGTGCCATCCCTGCCTCTAGCGACTACGTGGCCAAGCCAGGCGACAAAGTGGCTGCTCGTGTCAAGACGGTCGACGGAGACGAGCAGTGGATCTTGGCTGAGGCCGTGAGCTACAACCACGCCACCAACAAGTGAGTGTGTCTGGTAGATCTGGGGCTACAGGACTGCGCTAGAAGGCAGTCTGGGGTTCCACTTCCTTCAGTCACAGGTAGCATTCGGCTTGGGGAGCCCTGTGTTTGGACAGGCATCCGGGACCAGGAATGGGTGTTTCAGTCACCAGAAGTTGGATTTTGAAGTCTGTGGATGCTTGGCCTTCCCTGTCTAAAGCCCTCAGGGAGAAATGTATTGTCAGAAAGGATTCTTCAAGAGGTCTGGTGGTGGTTTGGGCATGTCTGTGTGCCAATGACTGAGCCCAAATTGATGTATGAATGAATGCAATGGTCACCTGGAGCCTGTTCTCTAGGAGGTGCTGAAAAGTGAGCAGCTACATCTTCAGAGAAATTGGCTTCGTGGTGGCCTCATGCAGGCATGGGAACCTTTGGCCCTCCAGCTGTTTCTGAGCTGCAACTCCCATCAGCACCAGCAAACAAGACCAGTGGCTGGAATTGATGGGAGTTGTATTTCAACATCTGGAGAGCCAAGTGGGAGAGGAACATTGCGGAAAAGCCTGGCTGGTTCCTGCTGTCCTTTTCGGAGGTCAGCGCTGGGTTTTTGTTTTCTTTGGTGCCTTCTTTGACACAGAAGTAAAAGTTCTGTAATGAGCAGCTCTGAAGTAGGGCAAGGTAATTTGCATTCCCAGAATTGTCTTCATCAAATGGTACTCTTGGAAGTCCTGAGCTGAGGTTCTGGCCTGTGTTTTGGCTCACCCTGGCTTTGGACATGCCGTCTTCTGGCTTCATAGCCCAGAGCCTCATTTTCAGACGCTTTGAGCTATTGTGCATCAAATGTCCACAGCCTCTTATTAGACAATGCCAGGCCATGCTGCAGGCCAGGCCTACTTCAGGAAAGGTCCTCTACCATCTTGGTGGAAATTGCTTGTTAGTTTTGTTGTTTGAAGTATAAAGATTGGCATACCTGTTACTATTATATTTATTAATTTTGATTTATTGGCAGCCTTTCACCCTAGGGTCCCGGAGTGGGCCACAGTAATTTAAAATACAACATCAAAAATGGTTTAAAATAAATCACAAACACAACAATCAAGTGGGTCCTAAAATATACATCTCAGCAGAGGTATGTCCTGACAAGTTGCTGTGGCCATCCCCCCCCCCCCCCATTGCCTCTTTGGTTGTGATAATGACTTTCTAACAGAGAAGATTCTGACTTCAGCAGCTAAATGATATAAAATAAATTATCTAAGCATTCTACCTAGGTGACACATACCACAAAACCTGTGTTGCGTTTGTTTTAGGTGCAGAAACGTTTCCTAAAGAAGATGGATCCTAACTTTCCCATGCACACCACTTGTACAGCCTTATGGTTTTGCTTACATTGAATTCTCACCTGCTGTGTTCTCTTCCCCAGGTATGAGGTGGATGACATTGACGAAGAAGGGAAAGAGTAAGTGAAGAAGAGACTCTTGTAGGGGCTGAGGGATGTCAGATTTGCCCCCTCCCCTTAATCTCTGCTTCTTCTCTCCAGGCGCCACACCTTGAGCCGCCGCCGCATCATCCCCCTGCCCCAGTGGAAGGCCAACCCTGAAACAGACCCTGAGGCCTTGTTCCAGAAAGATCAGCTGGTCCTGGCCTTGTACCCACAAACTACCTGTTTCTACCGAGCACTTATCCACACTCCTCCACAGCGGGTAAGGAAGAGGCCACTGGACAGGGCAGCTGAGACTCCGACTCTTCCTCTCCCATTGGTTTGCACTGTCTCCTATAGGCCACCATAAAAACCGCCTTGCCCGAACGAGACCAAAAAGTCCATTTAGCCTGGCATTCTGCTTCTGACAGAATCCTGCCAGATACCTCTGAAAAACCCCAGTTTGTCCCTTGATAGCCATCTCCAGCGGTTTGTTGTCAACATCTGGCTCTGAACATAAAAGTTTTGCTTCTTCTTGCTCTGACTAATAGCCACGGAGGCCTACTGCCCATGAATTTTGTCTAAACTATTTTGGAAGCCATCTAACCTGCTTCCCACATATAAAGCTGCCTTATATGGCGTCAGTTCATTGGTCCATCTAAGCCACCCTTTCTCAACCTGTAGGTCCCCAGATGTTGTTGAACTACAACTCCCATCACCCATAGCTAGCAAGGCCAGAGCTCAGGGATGATGGGAGTTGTAGTCCAACTACATCTGGGGACCCACAGGTTGAGAACCGCTAAGCCGAGCAACGCCTGCCCTGGCTGACGGCCACTTTCTGCCAGAGGTCTTTCCATTCTCCTGCTATGCATGCATTTGAAATGGATCTACTGGGAGACTGAGCTTGGCTTCTTCATGCAAACCGTGAGCACTGCTGCAGCTATAATGGTCTCGTTTGGATGCGGGGCTAAACTATGGTTTGGCATTGTGTCCTAACCTTGTTACACTGTGGTTAGTCTTACTGAAACGAGCCCTCTTCAAACCACGGTTGATTCCCACAGCCATTGCAGGAGGAGAAAAAAGGGGAGTTTGTTCGTGAAACGCTGAACTGGAGTTCTAGTTGCATCCAAATGAAGCGAATGCATGTGTTGCTGTCATCTAGCACTTCCCCAATGTGGGGCTTTATCCTGTGTCCCCCCCTGCTTCCCACCCTGGGTCTTTGTGCCTGTGATTCTGTGAATTGCAAGTGTTGGAAGGTAGCAGGGGTCTGGGGCAGGGACAGCCTGCTTTGACCAAGTCATCCTACAAAGTAGTTGATTAACGTTGCTCTTAGGGTGAATTTCCTCTGGGGTTATCTGTTGAGGTCATGGGACCTAGGCCTTTCCCCTCTGTGAGATAATGCATAACTTTCTCCTCTGCCCCTCTCTCTCTCTCTCAGCCGCAGGACGATTACTCTGTGCTGTTTGAAGACACCAGCTATGCAGACGGCTACTCTCCACCCCTCAATGTAGCTCAGCGCTATGTAGTGGCTTGCAAAGAAACCAAGAAGAAGTGACAGCACCCTCTAGTGGATGCTGGTGGCGTGGCGAGGAACCAGATCTCTCAAATGGACTGTTACAATTGCAGAGTTAATAAAACAGAAACTGACAGGTGCAGGAGACAGGTTTTTTAATCCAGAGTAATATAGATCCCATGTCCCCTAACCACAACAGCACACTGCAAAGCGATAGAAATGTTTTACATGAATTCTGTACTTGTGGGAATTAAGGCAGAACTTTTGACTTGTGGGCAAGCTTGGGCTTCAGACCAAATGGATTCAAGGCATTGGATATTGAGCAGCCATTAAATCTCATTTGGTGGTCTTGGGCAACTGAGCATCTCAGCCTGGCCTATAATAATTTTTATAATTATAATTATAATTTTATTATTTATACCCCACCCAACTGGCTGGGTTTCCCCAGCCACTCTGGGCGGCTATATGGGTGTTGGGAAACACAAAAAGAGAGGGTGAGGAAAGAGCCGTGTGTGCTGCCCCAAATTAAAAATGGCATTCACAAAATGGTGGTCTTGCAAGCCCAACAACATCAGTGTGGCTGGCTCTGGATTCAGAGTTTAGAATTGTGAGGGTTTTCTCTTCACAGGGAATGGGATTTTAACATTTTCAGGCCTGGCGTCTTTACCAGCTTAAAATGCACGTTTCCAGCTTAAAATGCACCTAAGTCATTCTTGATTTGGATCAAAACTGGTTTGGTGGGAAGTTCATCAAAATTTAGCAATTAATAAAGAACAGCAGGATATTTGTGAACTGTGGTTGACGTCCTGTGTAGATGATTTCCAGACCAGCGGTGGGGGTTCACAGGATACAGACTGAGTCTCTCTCTGAGGCCCCACCCCTCTCCATCGCCCGATTCCTTTCAGCCATAAAAGGCCCTTGTTCATCTCATTTTTGGCCTCTCTCCTATGTGGCTGTGAACTTTACCAGTCAGTTTTAAGCTTGTTAAAAATTCATTTAATCTTTACAGGGTTTGCAGATTAACACTGTTAAACAGATCTGCCCAGCCACTGATAAAAACGCTGCCAAGACTTGAGCAGGGTTTGATACCTTTGCCTCAAGTTTGGTTCTTTGGCATTTTGTCGAATAAACAAGGTATTGTTACGAGTTTGTGCGTGCTGGACCCCTTTGATCCCTGGAATTAGGCAAGTGTTAAAAACTAATCCAGCCAGACTAGTCTGCAAAGGAAGGGGCTGTGGGAGATGCAATTGGGTGGAGCCCCTCCCTCAACTTGTGAGAAGGAATAAAAGTCAGAGTTGAGAGTTAGGAGTTATGTGAGCCAGAAGTTGTATGCAAAAGCGACACCCTGGAACAGCAGAGAGCACCATCCAAGATCTCTGCTTGAATCCAAGGCTGTGGCAATAGGAGAAACAAGACCCTTTTGGGATGTTGATGCTTTGAACCCCTCCATTGTAGGCTCAGGCTGTATATGTGTGTAAATAAGTCATATAACACAAAGACACCACAGTCTTCCCTGAGCCTGATTTCAAAAGGAAACACGAACCCAGGGTAAGTGCCTGGAATCTTGCACCACTCAGAGGTTGGGGTGGCACAAACACACTTCTGGGCTGAAGTACTTTCAAGATCCCACCACCTCCCCAGTGACCATGAGATGATCTTCTAGGCTCCACCCCTCCTCAAGTAAAAAACTCAGAAGCTCCCACCCCACTGATCAAGCACTTTTAAAAACCGTGTTGGCCAATCCATTTGCTGGCGAAGGCCTCTGGCTATCTAGATTCTGGATTTTTCTCTGTTCTGCTGCTGGATGATTCAAGCTTTTAGAGGGAGTCTGTCATACCCAAAGATGTGTATGTATGACAATTCCAGAAGACAGCGGTGCAAATCCTATGTTTGCTAGTTGGGTCAGCATTTGAGAAATGTAAATGCTTTCTTTTTAAAAATAAAAATAAAAAAGGAAAGGAAAGCAGCTTTCTTGCCCTTAAGGCTTAAAACGTATTGTGCACAGCTTCACTCTTCAAGCAGTGCAAGATTCCAGACCAACCCTCTCCTCTCAACAAGGTTCTTCCAGGCGGTTGAAAAATCTTTCATGAGAAATTTCGGCTCAGCTCGATTTTGCAACATCAAATTGTTTTCGAAATTGCACACAGCCTTGGGCAGGCCTGCCAAACCAAAGCCAGCCCAGGGGAGGTTATGTTGCTATTGTCTCCCTTTGGGTTCTTGAACTGATGTGTGTGTGTTGAGATAAAAAAATAAATTGTCCAGTAGCACCTTAGAGACCAACTAAGTTTGTTCTGGGTTGTGTGTGTGTATCTCACCCCCACCTGATTTTCTGCCAGGATCTGCCTCAGTGTGTCAACACATAACGGGAGCCAAGAAAAGACAGCAGGCAAGAAACGCAAACAACCGCACCCCAAACTGCGAGTAGCTCTGCAGCAGGAAAGGGACAGAATAGGCTTGTGGAACCATCTTGTCTCTAGGGTGGCTGAGGGTCAGAGAACTCGGGATAGGGGAAGAAATTCACATTATCAGTTCACATTATGGGATGAATCCACCTTATTTTCCCTTTCCAAGGCAGCTGTCCTTCACACTTCTTTGAATTTTAGTGTGCAGTTCTCCAGCCAAGTCATGTGTACAAAAATGTACATATGTCAGAATAACACAAAAATCCATTTTATCTGGGAAAGTAGAAATATTGGGGGAAATACATGTTGCAAAAATATTGGGCAAAATCATGTTCAAAGAGGTGAAATTCACACTAAAATACCATACTGATTAATCTTCCTTTTTTAAAATTGCAAGCTAATCTGGAGGACCGAATTTAAAAATGAGAAAAATGAGAAACTGAGCGGAGCTGAAATTGAGGGGTTTGCCCATGCCTATAGAGGATGCCCTTCCCCCTTCTTGAAGGGTTGTCTGGTCCAAGTTGGATTCAAAAGATAAATAACCTTCAGAAGGGAAAGCAGAGCAGCATCAGAAGCCTTGAAGTGTCCCATCAACATTTAGCACCTGAAGAGTAAACAAAGGAGGCCCATAGCAGGTCACCTGGTCAAAAGCCACTTCCAAGCTGTTGCCATTTTTCAGGTCGGCTTCAACTGCAGATTGGTAAATTCAGGCTGTGCAATTCAAGTGGATTTGGCCCTCTTATGTAACAACCTCCCTCAGTAAACAAATTTAGAAACTCAAGAGCAAAGTCAGCAAAGTGACAGGAAACTGCACTGGATAACAATTGCCTGACGAAATGTCCTATTAATTTCCCTGCCAACAAGTCAAAACCAATGCTCAATACTCTTTATAACCACCCTGCAAATTTGTGCAAAATAATTAGGACGGATACTCAACAGGTCGCTTGGAAACGGCCACAGTGTGGTGGTGAGATGTGTTTCGTTTATATCTAAAATTACAGTGGTACCTCAGTTTACAAACTTAATCCTTTCTGGAAGTCCGTTCTTAAACCGAAACTGTTCTTAAATCGAGGCGCTCTTTCCCTAATGAGGCCTCCTGCCGCCGGTTCCCTTCCACCGTTTGACTTCCATTCTTAGACCGAGGTAAAGTTCGCAAACCGGGACACTACTTCCGGTTTTGTGGAGTTCGTAAACCGAATCGTTCGTAAACAGGACTGTTATTAAACTGAGGTACCACTGTATCCTTCTTAAGATTGCATCAATGCCTATAAATTAGCATGTGCAAATTTTTCCCATGCCTGTGTCCTCTCTTGAAATGATGTGTTCCCTCTTTTCTGGCAATTCATAAGCAGCCACCTATTTGTTGCTCAGTTCCAATCATGGACTGTTTTGCTGAAAGGAGGTGGCTGACAGCCAGACTGAAGCGGAAATTGAGGCTTCCCGTTGGAACAATCTTTCTGAGACGTCTCCATTTATTCAAAACTTTTTTTAAAAAAATGTCTTTTCAGGGCCTGTTTTCATGCTTCTGATATGTTTGATTGCTGTCCTGAGAAATACATTGCAGTGTTTTTTGTTAGTTTTAATTATTTGGATTGCAATCCTATAGTCAGCAACTTGGCATTAAGTTCCCACTGAACTCAATGGGATTTAAAACTTCTGAACAGAAGCAAAAGGTTGTGTTGTTAACCATTCATTATAAACTGTCCCATGAAGTGTTGAAACAGAAGGGTGGGGTGGCGTTCAGCGCTTTCCACCAAATAAATATATGATGAAATACGGCGTATTGCAAAAGCACAGTATATTTCAATGTCACCTAACCGCCTCTGTACTTGCAACAAGTTTATAACATTAAAAAACCCGTCACATGTTGAAGCACATCGCTGTAATCCTCAAAGGGGAAAATCCAGTAATCCTCTGGCGAATTCTTTGCATCATCTGATGGGAAGGGTGAAGTATTAAGGTAGTTCCAACAAAAGGCAAATCCTCTTAGATCATGTGCTGGGAACTGTAGCTCTAAAACTTAGCAGAGGGCCAAAACAGGGTGTGAGATCAGTTGTTTCCTCACACGTACACTTTAAAACAACCTATTTGCCCCCCCCCCCCAGTTTTGACTGAAGCTATGTCTCTGGGGGGAGCAGAGGGGAATAAGACAGTTGCAGTTCCTATCTGTGCTCTCTTCAACCCCGCCCCCCCCCATTGTAGACCATAGAGGTCCATGGAAAGTGGGTAGGAACAGGCTAAATATTTCTGTGGAGCTCCTGCTTTCTGTCTCTCTCTCTCTCTGTACTTTAGCTTGTTGGGAACCTATTGGAGGGGTAGGCAATGGATTTTCCTTCAGATGTGGTAAACTATAATTGCCATCAGCGCCAGCTAGCATGGCCAATGGTATAATCTCCTCTGCCTGCCACTGCTTTGATCAAAATCCAAGACCATCCCATTGGCACCCACTTTATGAAAGTGTGTGGTGAGATCTCCTACATCAAATCTGTTCTTGCAGGTCCTCAGCTTCAGCTGCAAGCCCACATCAAGCTCAGTTCCAGCTCTGCAGTATACCGGTCTGCTAACTCATTTTCAACCTCCTAGATGTCTCTCCCCCCCCCCCCCCCGCTCTCTCTCTCTCACACACACCTTAAATTCCTTTTCTCAGTAGTCAAGATCACAGCAGGGTGGTCATGTGTCCTACATTAGAGAGGGAATCCTCTATTTTTCTCTATTTGAATAGCTATTGGGTCCAAGTCTGATGTAAAGATTATTTATTTCATAACATTTATAAACCTTACTTTTTAAAAGACATCTGAAGGCAACCCTGTTTAGGGAAGTTATTAGTATTTAATGCTGTGTTGTTTTTAACACTCGATTGGGAGCTGCCCAGAGTGGCTGGGAAACTCAGCCAGATGGGTGGGGTATAAATAATAAATTATTATTATTACAGTGGTACCTCTTGTTACGTACTTAATTCGTTCCGGAGGTCCGTTCTTAACCTGAAACTGTTCTTAACCTGAAGCACCACTTTAGCTAATGGAGCCTCCTGCTGCCGCCGCATGGCCGCCGCCCGATTTCTGTTCTCATCCTGAAGCAAAGTTCTTAACCCGAGGTAATATTTCTGGGTTAGCGGAGTCTGTAACCTGAAGCGTATGTAGCCTGAAGTATATGTAACCTGAGGTACCACTGTATTATAATAATCCTTCACTTTTTCTTTACAGGGCCATGTAGATGAATGCAACTGGTGTGATGTTTCTGACTTTCTACACTAGTGTCTGTTTAATTCATAGCTTCCTTAATTTTTTCCCACACTGAAGTTAAGGGTTTAATTAGGGGATTAAGTTTTGCTGCCTGTGTATGAGTTTCAACAGTCTTTGAATAGTTTTGATGGAATACAGTATTTAAAGTATCATTTAAAAAACTAAAAAGTTTGGCAATGCTTCATGCTCCAAGGCTGTTTCAGTGTGAGGCGGTTGGTGCCTGGTTTTGTTTCTTGTTACACTCCGTCCCCAAATGACAGTAGGAAGAGCAGAAGGCAGGGAAATTCAGCTCATCCAACTCCTTTGCCCCTTGGGGATGCTCAGCAGTCCAGTTTACAGAGCACCACCTTCTTGGAGGAAACATAGGTTCTGGCTGGAAGGCTGCAGTCCTCTCAGGTTACGATGATGATTATTTCCAGATGAAACTGCACATTCCACATGTGCTTTTTCTTGAATATAGCCATCAGCTCAAAGATATACTTACCCTTGAAACTTTGCTTACAGCAGGAAGGTACCACAAAGCTCATTCGGCCTAACCCCCTGATGATGCAGGAAATCATTTGCTGAAGCTCAACACTAATGTTGTTAAATTAATAAAGGACGAGGACGAGAAAGCTTTTCAATAAAAGTATTTATTAATGGTGGGAATACGAGATATGAGCAGAGTATCAACCTGACGATTTGGGAAGGTTTTTTAAGTGCATGTCATGTACTCTGCTTAAGTAATGCAAAATATATGTCTTTGCTAAAATTCTATAAAAAGTGGGCTTCTTTGAGACCAGATCGTTCTATTTTTAAAAAGCCTCTCCAGGGTCAAAGCAGGATAGAGAAAGAAGAGACCAAAAAAAAAAAAAAAAAAAGAGAGAGAGAGAGAGAGGCAAAAAAGAGACGTTCCTTTTGGAATGTAACAACCAGATTTTCTTGAACTCCTTCCTGCATCTGCTGTCTAGGAAGGGAGGTCAAGGATTCACAGCTTACTGAGCTATAAATTGAGCTGAACATTAGTTTGTGTTTTTTCTAGACACAGGCTGATAAGAAGTGACAGCTACAAAGCTACACAGTGGCTGGAAAAACTACATAGCAGCACTTTGGGAAACTGGCTGTTTCTTGAAGGGGTCATGAAGGCATCTTGGCTTGATCTTCGTCTTTACACCATCAAGGCACATGGTGGCATCTTCCAGAGACAACACGGGGTGTTTTCCTGTTGCCAAACACTTGCTAAGAGGGGACAACTGAATGGGCAGCAATGGCAAGGAGAAGCAGCACCAAGGCAAGGGGCTCCAGGAGTGTCAGTGAGCCTTTTGCTGGGGTATGACCCTCAGCAAGTGTCCAACTATGTTGACCACTGACACCAGGACTGAGATTTTGGGAATGGGTGAACTGATGAATCCTGTGCACTCTCTCTCTCTCTCTCTCTCTCTCTCTCTCTCTCACACACACACACACACGGCTCTGCTAGACAATTGCTATTTTTGGGTGGGATTCAATCATATACCAACAAATATAGCTTGCACCATTATAGTTAATTAGGCAGTCTTGAACAACAAAGCCACTTATCCAAAGATCAGACTTTTACAATATGAAAAGTAGTACAGAAATCCACTTTTTGCAATAAGAAAAGTGATGGGAAGTGCAGAATAACACTTGGTTTGACACAGGATCATCTAACCTCCCTGCAAACAAATCAGCACAAATGCTCAATAAACAGCTCTTCTGGAAGTGTCCACCTACACACCAGCAGGCAACGTCAAGGAAGAGTTGTCCGCTAGGGAGAAAGCTGGATAGTATTGTGCATGTTCAGGAGCGTTTGTGGACATGGGAGAGAATCCAAGAATCATGGCTTCCGTATTTTGTCTCTTTTCTATTAACTCACATGAAGGTCTGTTCATCAAACAAGAAACCTGGTGGGCGGAATTGAGATTAAGAATCTGAAGCAAAGGTAGTAGATTCCATAGAATGGGAATAAAAGGAGACTCACCCGAAAAGGGAAGTCAGAGAGATCAAATCTCTGTCCGGAAGTGCAGGGTCGTTCCTTCCATCTGCCTTTTGTAATCGGCATCAAAGCGCTCGTTTTGAGCCACTGTGAACTTGTTCTTCCAATCGCCAGTGATTCCTGGGTTGAAATGGGAAGATATGGGAGTCAAGACACTGGCAATTAAAGAGGGACAAGATAGACATGAACATTACTACCTAAAGACCTGTCAAATATGATGGCTAAAAGAGGAACGGGGAGTTCCTGCCCTTTCCACACCGTACTCCATGCAGCAATACGCAGCTGCAGATTCCACTTGTCTGGAATTTTTTTAACAAAAAAAATTATTGGGTTTTCAATAATAAATAAATACATAAGCAGAGGAAGAGATCTGCAGGCCCTACTTGTGATGATGTGATGATGATGACGGTGGTGATGCAGATGATGGGGACATTTGCCTCCTCCAGTAAGCTGATCCCTTTTTGGTGCCCACTCCTTAAGCCCTATGATGCCTCAAGACCTCTTCTGAGCAATAATATTATGTGTTTGTGGGTGCCAGACACCTATAATCCTAGCAAGTATTAAAAGCTAATCAAGCCAGGCTAGCTTCCCAATGAGGTAACCGCCTGGCTGATGGATCATTAAGAGAACAAAGGCAAGGCGGTTTGTGCTAGATGACAAATGGGCGGGCCCCTTCTCCAGCTCTCGGAGAGTTAGAAGGACAAAGCCTGAGATTTGGGGGCTGGGTTTGCTGTGATGTGACCCGGAGGGAAAAGCTTCAGGCTGGAAAGGCAGAGAGAAAGAAAGAGTCGTGGCTGATTTCTGCTTGAATCCAAGCCTGTGGCTGTGGTAGAAACAAGACCCTTTTGATGTACTGATGTTGTGAACCCCTCCATTGCAGGCTCAGGATGTATATATGTGTAAATATGTATATATGTAAACCATATATCATAAAGATACCACAGTCTCCGCTGTGCCTTATTTCCAATAGGAAACATGGACCCTGGGGTGAACCCCTGGGACCCCTGGAATCTCAGCCCTCTTCAGCCCATCCCTCCAGGTGTCAGTGCAGCTTACCTTTCCTCATGAAAGGGGAGATACTGTGGTCCATAATCGTGGCAGGAATGCTTGTGTAATTGGCCATTTGGTTCTTCTGCATCTCTTTGAAGGAGGTGTGGTGAGCAATCTTCTCGACCAGGCGGTCATCAGGTGGCCTCTCCAGGAATTCCATTACTTTTCGGATCTCCCGCTGAGGATTCTAGAAGATAAGCAATGATTGGGGGTTGAAGCCGGGGGACTTAGGTTAATAAATTAATAATAATTATTTATTATTTATACCCCGCCCATCTGGCTGGGTTTCCCCAGCCCTGGGTTGGGAAAGGAAGACAGGGGAGAAGGACACAGTGTACAGAATGGGAATACCCAGGTGGACCTCCCAATTTCCCAACCTGGGAACCATCATTTCGTCTGGTGCACCTCTTGAATGTGGCAAATGATGTTCCGGCCCTCTAGACACCACAGTTCCTTCTGACACACTGCATGCATGCATGATACATTCTATATGTGCTATGTTTACACTTTGAACATTTTGGCTTTGCTTGCTGTTGCAGCAGAACTGGCATTGAAAGGGTTATACCAGGGAGTGGGAACCTTGCCTCTTTCAAGTCTTCATAGAAAAGGTAGAGCATCTTATGTTCATTCCTCTTGTCCCACCAGCCTTTGACATGGTCGTACCAGGATCCAAAAGAGACTGAGGAGAGAGAGATTATGGGCTTCCGTGAGAACCTTTCTAGAAACGAGGAAATTCTGGCCTCTGCTGGGTAAAGGCTGCAACTCAGTACTATAGCTTCTTTTTTTCCTTTTTTGGACTGCAGCACCCATCTTCCCTGACCATTAGTCAGGACAGCTGGGGCTGATGGAAGTGGTAGTCTAAAACACAGCACATTTTCCACACACATAAGGATCAAAGTTCCATCTTCAGAACTGGGGAAAGTCTGACAGACACCTTGAAGAGCTGCTGTCAGTCAGATTATCACGATCTGACTCAATATAAGGAAGCTTCATCATTTGTTTATCTCATTCTACCGCTACCTGCCCAGAAGCAATGGGAAGCCAGAGGAGCAATGCCTGGATATGAACCTTCACACTCACAAAGCTCCTCCAAACCAGGTAAGATCTATGTAAAACACTTGCTCATAATTCCATATGGAATTTCATAATTTCTATATAGCAGGTGGGTCCAATGACATCTAGAAGATCACAAGTTTTCTGTCCTTGGCTTTCAGGGTCATTGCCCTTGCCCTCTGCCTCTGTCTCATCTCCCACAGTCCTTACTGTCTCCAGCCATAAACTTCTCCAGGAATTCGTCCCACGTTCCAGGATCAGGATGCACTTTTGCCATTTGGTAGAAGTAATAATACGAGACAGCCACATCTTTGGCGTTTCTGGCCACGTAGATCATCTGTAGTGCAGAAAGTAGCATGCAGATTAAATGGATGATCAGCATAATTTATTCTGCTTCTGCCAGTCAGGCAGAAGGGCGAGGGGCAATGCAAAGGTTTTGAAGTCCCTCCCCTTGGCTACTACAAAATGCTGCAAAGCCCTCCCCACCTCTGGTTTTTAAATTTTTACATTGCCCATAGATTTTCAAGCCTGTTTTCATATGGACTAGTAACTTAGATATTTTCTAAATAAAGTATTTAAGTATCTTTCATATATAGACTAGAAACTTAGATTCCTTTTTTTGAAAACAGTAACCTTCTTCTGCATAGAATACACAGCCCTGCTGGCAACTTTGTGATCCTTCTTTCAGATTAACACTCCAGCCCCTTTCTTCCACAGTGACCTCTTTCAGATCCTGCTCTTGCTAGATTCAGGTGCCCATATACCCTCTCACCTTGCAATCCGTTTCCCAGAATGATTTTGGAAGCAATTGGACCGGAAGGTGTGTTTTAATTAGACACGGCCGAGGTGCTTTTCTGAGCAGATCAATGCCTGGAGGGAGGAAGGGAGGGAGGAAACAGAAGTCAATAAAGAGGCTTCTCCTCTCCCCATCTTTCACGACCTGTCCCCACAGCATACCTTAGGGTGAGGGACTCCTGGATTGCTGGCCTTCTGGGGTGTTTTACCTTTGGGAACTCCTTCAACAGCAAACTCCAAGAAAGGGACTCTCTGGTAGATGGGTTCGTTGCTGCATTTCTCCACATTGCCTTCTTTATAGATCAGGTCGATGACCTGGCTCACCCAGGTAGTTCCTGAAACGGCATGAAGGGGTGTTTTGCATAAATTCTCGATTGCAGTGCAGTTAGGGAAAGCCAAGATTGAGGCTGCATACGCCGTACATTTAAAGCACATGCAAACTACGTTTCCTCAAATAATTCTGGGTGCTGTACTTTGTTAAGGGTTTCTGGGAATTGTAACTTTGTAATGGGTCAATTACATTCTCCAGAACGCTTTAAGGGGGGGGGGGGGAGTGCTTTAAAACTTATATATGCCACCTGAGGGTACATATACAGTGGTACCTCGGTTTAAGAACAGTCCTGTTTATGAACTATTCGGTTTACGAATTCCGCAAAACTGGAAGTAGTGTCCTGGTTTGCGAACTTTACCTTGGTCTAAGAATGGAATCAGAACGGTGGAAGGGAACCGGCGGCAGGAGGCCTCATTAGGGAAAGTGCAACTCAGTTTAAGAATGGTTTCAGTTTAAGAACGGACTTCTGGAATGGATTAAGTTCAGAAACCGAGGTACCACTGTACACCCTACAGTCATGGCTGTAGCCCAGGTGGGGGCAGCTGCCCCCCAAATCATGTAAATAAATAGAAATACTTAACTAACTGACTAATTGCATCACAAATATCTGGGTTCTGCCCCCCTTAAAATAAATCCCATGCATACAGGTAAAGTACATATCCTCCCCAAAAGAAGTCTGGAAACTGTGTGATGGTGGACTGGGGGGGGGGAGTCCTGTTTTAACTATTTATTTAACACAGGTGGCACTGTGGGTTAAACCACAGAGCCTAGGGCTTGCTGATCAGAAGGTCGGTGGTTCGAATCCCTGCGACGGGGTGAGCTCCCGTTGCTCGGTCCCAGCTCCTGCCAACCTAGCAGTTCGAAAGCACGTCAAAGTGCAAGTAGATAAATAGGTACTGCTCCGGTGGGAAGGTAAACGGCATTTCCGTGCGCTGCTCTGGTTTGCCAGAAGCGGCTTAGTCATGCTGGCCACATGACCCGGAAGCTGTACGCCGGCTCCCTCGGCCAATAAAGCGAGATGAGTGCCGCAACCTGAGTCGTCCACGACTAGACCTAACGGTCAGGGGTCCCTTTCCCTTTCCCTTGTGCTTTTATCTCATGTTTTAATACACTGCCCAGAGATCTTTTGAAGAATGGGCGGTATACAAATGTAATAAATAAAGAAATTCTTAGTGTAAGGATTAGCGATACAGTATATTACAACTGTAATATGGCACTCTGCACGAGCCCAAAATTTGCCCCAGCCCTCCAATGAATCTCCTCTATTTTGTTTCCCCCCTCGGTTCGGGGGAACCGCCTGCACAGCCCTAAATCCAGCACTGACAACAACTGCACAGCTATGTCCCTGTTTTCACCAGGGAAATACTTGCTTCCCACCTCGACAACCGGCATATTTGTACAGCCACAAGTCTGCAAAGAACGTGATCCCTTTTAAGCTTTCTTGGAAGCCATTGCTATTTGGAGGCTGTGTTAGACCATGTAACATTACCTCAAGGGCTTAGCACCTTTTCACAGAAGCCCAGAATTGTGGAGTTGGAAGGGATCCAATGAGGCATTTTAGTTAAGGTTACCAGCTTTTTTTCAGTGAATCCGGGGACACTTTTCAACTTCAATAGATTTTGTATGGGGACTGATTTGTAAATCCGGGACTGTCCCCAGGTAACGGGGACGTCTGGTGACCTTAATTTTAGTCCAATACCCTGCAAATGCAGGCATCGCAACTTTCCTTCCCATTGAGTGGGACGCAGCCCAGACATTCACTCACCAGATTTAGGGTACGTGGAGATCAGCAAGTCCCCCGGATGAACTTGGAAGTCCTTCACCTCTTCCAAGACATCAGCAAACGTCTTGATCATGCCAACCCCCTGGACATAAACCAGTGGCGGGCGCTCCGGCTCTGCATCGGGCTTCATCCTGGCAGAAAAAAGGGGTTAAAGCGAAATGGGCTGCTTGCACCCTTGGGCAGAGTGAGTCTCTTCCCCCCCCCCCCGCATGCAAGGAAGGTGTACAATACGTGAGTGGAATCTGAGCTTGAAATTCAACCAAACATTACACAACATCTGGCATGCGCTACCTTCCCCTTTGACTGGAGTTGGCAGGGATTTCTGAGGCTGGGCTGAATAATAGGATCAGATAACTGCAAGGAACTGGGATTTCACTGCGAGGGAACTGAAATATCTGCTGAAGAAAAGGGAAAGTCTCACCCCATCCTCAACCTCATTTGCCACCTGCAAGCAAAGCAATTTGTCCTTTCTGTGTCCTTTTTCGAGGGTCAGGACGGACCAGGATTTAAAAAAAAAACAGCCTCACAATCCCATCCCTTCCTACAAGTCCTCCTGAGTTCAGTCGGTCTTTCTGCCTGGGAAATGGTTCGACGAGGATTGAAGCCTGCATGTAGGAAAATAAGACCCAGGCTCTCGCTCCCTCTCAGCCTTGAATACTAGTCGTCCACCAGGATATTGGACGGTCTTGTTCTGCCCTCATCATCCCAGGGAGACCAGGAGTCCTGCCTGCCTTGTGCCCTGACAGCTCCTCGCTCCTCCACTGCCCGCAGTCCGGAGGCAGCTCAGCTTCCGCGGGTGTCGCTTACCTTGATCTTGAGGCGCTGGTGATGGTTCGGCGGCTGGCGCTGATTTGGGAGCTGAAGCGCTCCCGAATCCGGTTTGTGGGGCGTGGACCAGGAATGGGCGGAGAAGATCTCCCGGGGTGAATTATTCCTGGGTGGGACAGTGGAGAGCTGGTAGCTTTGCCGAGGTGCCGCTGAGATCAAGGCAAAGCAGAGGGAAGGGTTTTCACTGTGAAACACTAAATATATATGGCAATCTTTGATACTGGGAATTCCTGCATCCCCCCACCCTCCAAACAAAAGCGAACCCAAAACAATGTTGGCATTCCGACCAAGGCTTAAGGGTTGCTTTCAAGCACGGTGGCTTAACGGAGTGCTGCCTCTTTAAGAGCTTCCCAGACCCCCAAGTGCCCTCTCTTCGCTTAGCCCCAGGGAGAATAGATCCCTCTTCCAGGTGTCTGTTCGGAAGGCTGCCAAGGAGCTTATGCAACAAGCCTGTTAAGTAACCTGCCCCTTCAGAGTCACCGTTCAACAGCCAACATAGTTTGGGTTGGACTCTCCTACTCATTTCTACAGGGTAAACACTCTGCACATGCTCAGGAGGTCAACTCTGCATGTTCTCACTTATCAGTGAGGACTGAAAATGGACTCAATTTAAGATCTGCGGATAGACAGCAGTTTAAAACGCAGTTTCGAGGCCCCTCCGTGTGCACATGATGAAGATGATGCCACACTCTCTCAGCTCACCACCACCATGTTAAGTGAGCCCACTAATGATCTCTTGATACCAGGCTTCCCAAAACAATTTGGGTAGTTTTAATTTGAGCAATGGAAGAAGAATGATCTGGCTAGAGAAGCAACTTGGGTGTGCTGCAGGGGTCCTGATATGTCTCTGAAGCTGCCATGCCAGTGAGAGCCAGCGTGGTATAGTGGTTAAGAGTGGTGGACTCGTAATCTGGGGAACCGGGTTCGCGTCTCCGCTCCTCCACATGCAGCTGCTGGGTGACCTTGGGCCAGTCACACTTCTCTGAAGTCTCTCAGCCCCATTCATCTCACAGAGTGTTTGTTGTGGGGGAGGAAGGGAAAGGAGATTGTTAGCCGCTTTGAGACTCCTTAGGGTAGTGATAAAGCGGGATACAAATCCAAACTCTTCTATGCCTGCTTGACTACCGGCTTGCTTCCTGCCTGTTCAACTTGTATATTTTGAAGCACATAGATGTCACAAGAGTGCCATAAAATCTCCATTAGCCTCCCATTTCTGGCCCTACAAAGGTGCCATGGGATTTGCTAGCACTTGGAGAGTTCGTACAATGTGTTATATGTTTAGTAGTGTGCACCTGTCTCACACAGGTAAAAAAAATGATGGCATTTCAATGCACAAACGCACATCTTTAAACAGGCTTTGGATAAGTGCAAACATGGCAGACTGCACTCACATGATTGGCTCTGGTTCTCTATGGTATACACCCATATTTGGCTTAACAATCATGGACCACCCAGTTGGGGCAAGGTTGAGTAAATATTAAAAATTCTTGTTTTATGGTGTTATAACTTATTTCACGTTTATAGTTGTATATAAATGTTTCAGATGTGTTTATGGGGATGGGAGGAAGAATAACATATTTGTTCCTTTGCTCAAGGTGCTTGGTGGAAGGGGTTGAGAAACCTCTGACTTAACAAGGATGTAGCTGAGAATTTTCCAGAAGCTTCCTACCAATCCAAATAGAGCTGGCCGGCCTACCATTAGGCAGAGTGAGACGGCCACCTCAGAAAGCTGGTTTTGCTTGTCATCAAAGGGCAGCAAACGTCAAGTACTCAAAAGGCAAACATTTAATTTTTTTTACAGAAAATAGGTCTGCCAAGTACAATCTCAGGGGCGTAGAGGGTGGTAGTTGAATGTATCTGGGGGAGAAAAAAGTTTCATGGGCCTTTTCCTCAGAGCAGCACCATAGAACCTCTTACATCAATGATATTTTGAGGAATTGACAAGAGTTAGGCTCTTGGCTATAGCAGACGCAGGAGTTAAGTTGTAAAACAGCAAACAAAGGCCAGAGGAACCAGAAGAAGATACTGCTTCAAAAGTTAGGAGTAAAAATCTTGAAGTGTGGGAAAGATATAAAAATCTGTTGGAACAAAAAACTCCATATTGGTTATCGCCGTTGGAGGCAATGAGTGTGAAGAAAGTCAATATGACAGGGGGATGGGTGACATATGAGAAGTTAATAAGTAAAAGAGAAGGTAAATGGAAGATGAGACCATTCGAAGAAGTTAAGGACCATGTCAATGATTGGTTGCATTTTTTCAAATTAATGAGATGTTTAGAAAAGATTTGAATCAAAGGGGTTTTGCGGATAAAGAATCAAAATTTCAGACAGAAATATTGAACAGTGATTTTAAGATCCTAGCAAAAATGTATAAGATATTATTAGAATGGTGCACGAAGGATGAAGAGGTAAAATCAGTTATGATTGATTGGGCCAAAGATATAGGATATAATATACAAATGGAGGAATGGGAAAGACTATGGAAGGAAGGTTTAAGATTCACTGCATGCACAGCTATAAAAGAAAATGATATGAAAATGATATATAGATGGTATGTAACTCCGGTGAAACTAGCAAAAATGTATAAGACAAGTAACAAATGTTGGAAATGTAAAGAAAAAGAAGGTACATTTTTTCATATGTGGTGGGAATGTAAGAAGGTGAAGTGCTTTTGGGAAATGATATATAATGAACTGAAGAAAATGTTGAAATATACATTTGTTAAGAAATCAGAAGCATTTTTACTAGGCATTACAGGTAATGAGATAAATAAGAAAGAAAAGAAGTTATTTCTATATGCAGTGACAGCAGCAAGAATATTGATGGCCCAGAAATGGAAACAGGAGGAACTACCTACGATAGAAGAATGGAGAACTAAAATGATGGACTATGCAGAACTGGACAGAATGACAGGAAGGATCCGGAATCGACGAGATCAAAGATTTACAGAAGATTGGGAAAAGTTTATTCAATATTTGCAAAAACTGAGTGATAACCAGATTACATTTGTAAGTTTTAATGAAGCTCTGTGATTGGAAAATGTTAAAATAAGTATTAAAATGGAATGAAGTTTACAGTAATAACATAAACAACGGGTAGAAATGTGTTAAAAGTAAAAATATGAAGGATTTGCAGACAAATTGAGGGAAGTAAAAAAAAAAGGAAAGTAAGATGTAATTAAGGTGTATGGAGTGTATAATTTTGTTTTGTATTTGAAAATTAATAAAAATATACATTAAAAAAAAGTTAGGAGTAAAAATCCCTGTTTAGGGCACTGCGACTTTGTGTGAGAGCGTGATCTCGCATGTTTTGCCCCAAAACGTGTGTTTTTGAGCTCTGTGATATTGCGCAGGTCACGTGACTTGCTTGGGAGCATGGCTGGGAAGATGAACATCCCAGCTTCTGGCAACAACATGTACATTAAAATTAAAGCAGTATCATGCCACTTTAAACAGTTGTGGCTTCCCTCAAAGAATCCTGGGAACTGTAGTTTGTTAAAGGTACAGAAAGTTTTTAGGACACCCTTATTCCCCTCACAATTCTTAGTGTGGTTTAACAATTATTCCCTCTTTGGGGACTTCTGGGAATTTTAGCACTGTGAGGGGAATAAGGTTCCCCTAACAACACTCAACACTCTACAATTTCCATGATTCTTTGGGGAGGGGGAGCCATGACTCTTTAAAGTGGTTTGATAACTGCTTTAAATGTATAGTACAGATGGGGTCCAAGTCAACAATCAAAAATAGGTAGCCAGTGTGTATTCACACCAGGAATAAGTTGCTCAGAGTGAGACATTAACTCTGAGGCCTCACTCAGCAGAGCGCAGTGGGCCTCATGGAACACGTTTGTGAAATAAACAAAGTAAATACACGTTACTACACAACAATAAGACCCATGATAAAGGACCCATAAAACCAGAGTCTATGGCTACCTACACATCAGTAGCTCAAAATGAAGCAAGACTGGTTTTCCCATACTGTGTTTCAAGTCATATTTTCATATTGCAGGAATGCCTTCACCTGATGTTCATTACCTGTATGGTTCCCTCACACCTGCAACCCCGTCAACTCCTATTCATGAAGCTGCCATCTGCACATGTGCAATGGCTGTCTCAAATAACGTACACGCCTCTGTTTAACTGCTAAGTGAATACGGCTTACGTTGTTGAATTGGATGTAAACCGGTTTGAGGGGAAAACGCATCAAATAGCATTTCTCAATAAGCTGCAAGATATGTCTGGGCTGTGTCAAATCCCTATGTACACACAGAGCCGTCTTTCCCATAGAGCTTAGTGGTGCATCGTGCCAGGGCGCCTGTCTCTCAGGGACGCCCCAATAAGTGGGGGAGCTGCGCGGCTTTGCCGGCGACTTCCCCTTTCCCTGCATGCCCACCAGCTGCGCCCCACCAACCATATGGTTGGCGGGGCGCAGCTTCCCTCTCAAGCCTCTGTGGGGATTGCTCTCCCGCAGCGGAATGGAGGAAAGTTGCACACCTCCAATGGTTGGCAGTGTGCAGCTTCGCTCCCCCCCATCCATGGTAATTTGGGGCCACTGGGTGGATATTTGCACCCCGGCACCGCATCTGCTATAGATGGCCCTGTGTACACAGCTTCAAACACCAGGTGGGGGGGTGCGCCCGAGTCTGTGTACAGTGGTACCTTGGGTTACAGACGCTTCAGGTTACAGACTAACCCAGAAATAGTACCTCGGGTTAAGAACTTTGCTTTAGGATGAGAACAGAAATCGTGCGGCGGCAGCGGAAGGCCCCATTAGCTAAAGTGGTACCTCAGGTTAAGAACAGTTTCAGGTTAAGAACGGACCTCCGGAACGAATTCAGTTCTTAACCCGGGGTACCACTGTAATGGGGACGTAGAATCCGAGTAAAACCTGAAACCCTTTATCTCTCAATCTCAAGGTCGTGGGTTCCAGCTCCACACTGGGCAAAAGATTCCTGTATTGCAGGGGTTGGACCACTTGACTCTCTTGGTTCCTTCCAACTCTACAATTCTATGATTCTCGTGTCTCAGGGAGAAATATATTGACTAATTTTAAGATTTATTTAACTTAATTTCTGGTTGGCAGTCAAAATAGTGTGGATTAGATATTGAGCAAGTTCTGCTGTCCATTGAGATGAAGAATGGTGGATCTGATGTCCTCGACTGTTTTCCTGAATGTGCTTGTGTGTGCTTTAACAGACAGTGTCACAGGGCTCCCACAGCTGTGCTTGTGGCTACTGCCTAGTTCTCTGTGGTAACGAGACAGACATGGCCCTACCATGAGTGTATCGGCTACCCCTGTGTCCTTGTTGCACATTAACCTTGTCACCAATGCAGTTCCCTGACTGGGAGGTTGTAATTAACTTTGCTGTGAATCTCGTCCTTTACTTTTGCTGACAAAATATATGAACTGTCATCTCTGCTCATCAGTAGATTGGGCTGGAAGGAGCCACAAACCGCCCCTCTTTGCATGAAAAGTGATTTGATCTTCCATGATTCAGTAGCCAGCAGTTATGTGTGGTTGAGCCCTATCTTGACTTCTCAGTCATTCACCTTAACCTGAGGCCTTCATTCCACCAGCCAAAAAACAGCACACACTGGAGTTCAGGGACTTTTAGACTGTTGAACTCTTGCCTCAAAATTCCTTCTGAATTAGTAAGTAAGTAGTAAGTAAATTTTTATTTATACCCTGCCCTCCCCGACCAAGACCGGGCTAAAGGTGGCTAACATCAAATACCAAATACATTAAAACACAATCAAACGATTAAAGTACAGCTTAAATATTAGAATCAGGATAAAATTAAATGACTGCCC